TTGGCTGCTATTAGTTCCAAATGGGCCATTTCAGGAATTGGAAATTGCCAGGGCATTAGGTAACCCCAGCATCTCACCTTCTCTGGTCATAGCCTCTGTATGTGAGGTCTAACCTGTCACTCCATCTATCGCCTTCAGCTCTGGTGTGTTCTCCTCGAGATAACACAGTGGCTGTGTCTAGACTGGCCAGTTTTTCTGGAAAATCAGCCGCTTTTCCGGAAAAACTTGCCAGCTGTCTACACTGGCCGCTTGAATTTCTGCAAAAGCACTGACTTCCTACTGTAAGAAATCAGTGCTTTTTGCAGAACTACTATGCTGCTCCCATTTGGGAAAAAGTCCCTTCTGCGCAAAAGTTTTGCGCAAAAGGGCCAGTGTAGACAGATGAGATTTGTTTTGAGCAAAAAAGCCCCAATCGTGAAAATGGCGATCGGGGCTTTTTTGCGCAAAAGCACATCTAAATTGGCCATGGACGCTTTTCTGCAAAAAGTGCTTTTGCGGAAAAACATCTGTGCCAATCTAGACGCTCTTTTCCGAAAATTCTTTTAACAGAAAACTTTTCCGTTAAAAGCATTTCCGGAAAATCATGCCAGTCTAGACGTAGCCATTATGTTTACAGGTGCAGCAGCAGTGATCTTCATTCAACAGAGGAAATATTAAGCCCATCTAAGGCTATGTCTATAGGCTGTGTCTACACTGGCATCCCTTCCGGAAAAGGGATGGTAATGTAGCACTTTGGAATAGGCAAATCCGCGGGGGATTTAAATATCCCCCGCGGTATTTCGCTTTTTTCCGGCTTGGAGATAAGCCGGAGAAAAGCGCCAGTCTAGACGTGATTCTCCGGAAAATAAAGCCTTTTCCGGAGGATCTCTTATTCCTTACAGGTGCAAATTAAGCTTCGGACCCCCTGTGAGAATGGGCGTCACAAAGACGTTCCAACTTAATTGGCATTTTAATGACAAGAGAAGCATCTACGTGACCACAGGGGTATAAAGTAGGGCCCTGTGCCCCACTCAAATTGGAGATCTGCCCACATACCTGCTGGTCAGGCGGTCTTGGACCCCCAAGACTTTAGGGATGCTTTAGTCTTGTACTGACTGCTTCCCATTGGGATTGAGAGGAACCTGGCTTCGTTGCAGTAAGGATCGCAGGTGTGAGAATATACCTGCTAGGTGTCTATTTTGCATGCATTTAATAAGAGCTCAAAGAACCAAAAGGTTTTCATGGTATCTGTAAGTGACTTTTTAGTGTAATTTCTGTCTTGTCCTGTTGTAGTGGTTGTGTTATCTGTAACACAGCAGTAGCATTTAACAACTAAGTTTGCCTTGTAACAATAAAATAGTAACTGTTTAAGCTTTAGCCTGACTCTTCCTGTTGCTGTAACAGAACCAGACACAATTAAAAAGAACTCCAGACAGTCGTAAGGGACAGATATAGGGAGAGCTGGGCGTTTGGATTGTGTCACCTCCAGTGGACAAATCCGTGGGGCACCTCTCAGCCTTACCTAGGCTGCCCACTGCAATGGGACCTTGTGTCCTAGCAGTTAAAGTCTGAGATGTAATAAGCTCTCCCTGTAAACTTTGGGACATCTGTCAGCCTGTTGGCTGCCCGCTGCGAAGGGACCCCAGTCCTAGCGGTCAAAGACACGGACATAAAACTTCTTGGGGCGCCCATCAACCTTCTCCAGGTTGCCCGCTGCAAAGGGACCCAGGTCCTAGCAGTTGAAGTCTCGGGTGTATAACACACACACACCACTCACTGCCCTGACCCCACTGGCTGACAGGTAGGATCTCGTGGTGGGCTCATATTTGTAAGGCACTTAATAAATCTTTTTCTGGTTGGATGGATGAAAACAGAGATTCGGTCGATCGGTAGTCTGAATGCGGAAATTGCCTCCAAATGAACCCTGAGAGGTGCTAATGAAAGACTTGTCTGTTTCAGGTGTAGCAAGTAATCAGGAATAATTGGAAGAGGAGCCGATTCTGGGAGTTGTTGCTTTGTGATGCACCAGGAGACAAACCTGCGCCACTTGGAGAGGTAAGTATGTCTAGTTGTTTGCCGTCTGCTATGGATGAGGATGTGTTTGACTGGTGCCAAGCATAAGGATTTGAAGGGATTTAGCCAGTACAAATCCGTGGGGCACCTCTCAGCCTTACCTAGGCTGCCCACTGCAATGGGACCTTGTGTCCTAGCAGTTAAAGTCTGAGATGTAATAAGCTCTCCCTGTAAACTTTGGGACATCTGTCAGCCTGTTGGCTGCCCGCTGCGAAGGGACCCCAGTCCTAGCGGTCAAAGACACGGACATAAAACTTCTTGGGGCGCCCATCAACCTTCTCCAGGTTGCCCGCTGCAAAGGGACCCAGGTCCTAGCAGTTGAAGTCTCGGGTGTATAACACACACACACCACTCACTGCCCTGACCCCACTGGCTGACAGGTAGGATCTCGTGGTGGGCTCATATTTGTAAGGCACTTAATAAATCTTTTTCTGGTTGGATGGATGAAAACAGAGATTCGGTCGATCGGTAGTCTGAATGCGGAAATTGCCTCCAAATGAACCCTGAGAGGTGCTAATGAAAGACTTGTCTGTTTCAGGTGTAGCAAGTAATCAGGAATAATTGGAAGAGGAGCCGATTCTGGGAGTTGTTGCTTTGTGATGCACCAGGAGACAAACCTGCGCCACTTGGAGAGGTAAGTATGTCTAGTTGTTTGCCGTCTGCTATGGATGAGGATGTGTTTGACTGGTGCCAAGCATAAGGATTTGAAGGGATTTAGCCAGTTAGGAACCATGCTGTGAGCTTCAGGGTGTGAATCTGGGGGTGTCGTAGATTGCCCTGGTTCTGTGTGAGGAGGTCCGGTAGGGCTGAAAGCTGAAATGGTCTGCGTGCTGATAGGCAGTGGAGAAAGGGGAACCAATGTTGATGCACCCAAGCTGGAGTTATCAATATGATTTTGGCCCCGTCTGACCTCATCTTCTGTAGAATCTTCGGAATGAGGGGTATAGGAGGGGAGGCATGTAGGAGAGGTCCATTCCAGTTGAAAAGGAAGGCATCCCCTGGGAAGCCCAGGATGAGCCTCGCTCTGGAACAATACCTTTTTCTGTTGCGGTGGGTAGCGAAAAGGTCTACTAGGGGAATTCCCCAGTGTTGAATAAGCATGTGAAGGACTCCCTCGTGTCATTCCCATTTGTGTTTCACGTTGAAGTGTCTGCTGAGAAAATCTGCAGTTGTGTTTGCAGTTTCAGGTAAGTAGGATGCCCCAGGTGTTATTCCGTGGCAAATGCACCAATTCCAAAATCAGATAGACTCCATGCACAAGGAGCAGGATCCAGCTCCTCCCTGACAATTTACGTAATACATGGCTGTGACATTGTCCGTGAGGATTCTCACTGTGGTGTTCCAGATCTGCTCACAGAAGTATTTTCAGGCATTGAATATCGTGCATAAATCTAGAAGGTTTATATGAAGACGTGCCTCTGGTGTTGACCACCGACCTTGTGCTGAGATCGCACCCATATGAGCTCCCCATCCTAGCAGGGAAGCGTCGGTTGTGATGTAATACTGAGGCTGCTGTTGGTGGAACGGTACCCCAGAAAGAAGGTTCTTGCGACTCGCCCACCAGAGTAGTAATTGGAGGATGGATTGCGGAGGTGATACCGACCTGTGAAAATCGTGTCTGGTGTAATTGTACACTAGTGCCAGCCAATACTGTAGGGCACAGAAGTGTAGCCTGGAGTAATGCACCATATAAGTGGTAGCGGTCATATGACCCATGAGTCTCAGGCAAGTGATAACTGGAATAGTAGGGATGCCATGAACGTTCTGAATGAGATCTCGGATAACGTGGAATCTCTGCAGAGGTAAGTAGGCTCTGGCTGCAATTGAATCCAAGTGGACTCCCATGAATTCCAGATCTTGAGTCGGATGCAAAACGGACTTTTGTTCATTGACGAGGAGTCCAAGAGCTTGAAAGGTTTGTTTGGTGATGCAAATCATATTGAGTATCTCAGAGGCGGTACGGCCCTTGAATAGACAGTTGTCCAGGTATGGAAAAATAATAGCTCTTTGTCTTGAGAGGTAGGCCACGATTATTGCCAGGATTTTTGAGAATATCCTGGGAGCAGACGAGAGGCTGTATGGCAGGACTTTGTATTGATAATGGTCTGTGCCAACAACAAAATGTAGAAATCTGGTTCCCCTTTCTCCATCTGCAGCCAGAGGCAGTCGAAAGGAACTGGCGGGGGCCGGACCCCACACACAGGGAAAAAAGCATGAACGCTGTGAGACGCCGGCGCATGCGTGGTCTGGCCGGGAACTGCTTCTAGAAAAATCTCCTTTCTGCGGCACTGGGGAAAGCCCAGCACCCACAGTGAGGCATCCGCAGGGACATCCTCAAAGAAGAACTACAGCTTCCCTTCTTAAGCATGTAGACATATCCTAAAGCTGTGAATTTAAGTGGATTAGCTAAATGGCTTTAAGCCTCTCAGTGGATATTGTCACTCGGCCTACATTTAAAACACTGCATTTGCACAGCTGTACCAGTACTGCTGTGCTGTTGTAGTGCCTTAATGAAGACATTGCAATCCAAAAGGAGAGAGCGGCTCCCATTGATTTGGTTAATCCACCTTTCCAACATGTGGTTGCTATGTCAACAGTAGACTCTCTCCCATCAACATAGCATTGTCTACACAGTGGCATCTGGTCCAGTATAACTACATAGCTCATACCTGTGTGTGATATAGACCAGAACTCAAAAACTGGCCTCAATTTAAATTAGCTAATTTACTGTGAGTAAAGTCCCAGGAAATTCTATCTAGGTAGGAAGTGCCAGGGAGACTGAATAACTTTTTCGGGAGAGGTGTGGTTAAAAAGCAGGTTTGTACCAGAAATCTGCTGAAAGTTTGATCCAGAATTGCTATTTCATAATATAATAGCAAACAGTCCCAAAATATGGTTATTAGTGAGATATCCAAGTCATTTATATATCTTTTATTTTAGAGAGAAAGGATAGATTTAGCAAACAGATTCTTATTATTGTGCCTCTGAGATGAAGATGCCTATAAGGAAGGTGTTTTATTGGATAAAAGTCACGAGCAAAAAACCAATGGGAAATGAAAAAAATGTTATTGCAAATTATAGCATGTACAATGTACATTTTTAGAAAAATACAGCTTTTTTACATTAAAATCCATTCAGGAAAATCTTGATTTAAGTTACATCAGTATAAAGTCAGCATCAGTGTCATCGTATAGCTATTCCTCTGTAATTGAACAAATCCTCATTATTGTTTCCTTATGTGAATTTTTAAAGAAGGGATAAACATCTCCTGCGAATGAACAATTGCTAAATGTGAACAACACAGACATGCCAGTTACATTAAAAAAAGTTACCTGCCCCTCTTGATAACTAAGGTAAACTCCAATTTTCTGGGGCTTTTTCTGCACCATGACCTGGGTCCATGGGTCTGTTTTTGCCCAATAATCTGTCCCACTGAAACCCAGAACCCAAAATCCCTCTTTGGGGAACAGGGAAAGATTTCCTTTTCTCTGTATGTATTTTCTGGCTACCCCTAGGTCCCAGTTAGTGCTGCTTCCAACATCTACTTCCCAGTAGTGCTTTCCAGAGGAGAATCCTTGAGAGCCCAGCACACAGACTGTCAAATCAAACCTCTCTGGAGCTGGTAGAACTTTCTGAGGTGTGGATTCATGTTTCAAGCTCTTCTTATCCCCAGCAATGGAGAGGTTGGGGTGAGCTGTGACTTCATGAAGAGTGATGTCAACTATGGGAAGAGAGTTTTCTTTTATGAGAATAATTCTTATAATGTCAGTATAATCTTGAATAGGAAGGAAATACACAGTATGAGCCTTGTCATAACACCTCTCCTCATGCACAGCTCCCACTGATTTCTATGGAAGTTTTGCCTGAGTAAGGACTGCAGGACTTGGCCAATTTCCACTTGCAAATTGGAAGTTCCACTGAACTATTTCAGACACTAAACTTGTTCGATATTTTCACAAAAACAAAAGTGATCTGGAACTGTTTATCACATTGTCACTCAAACTGGGCCAGATTCTGAGCTCTGTCAAATGAGTGTGAATACAGAGTAAATTTCCTTAAACTAAACTAATGGCCAGCAAAGTACAATTTCAACATCATCATTGAGCTGAATTGGTCTCCATATGTCCCAGCATTATAGGATGTTTTGTGTATGAAGTATGGCAAAAAGATATAGTCTGTGACAGCTACCTATGATGAGAAGTTCATGATGAAACCCAGAGTAGAATTATCAAAAAATTCAAATACTGGTCTTGTCAAACTGCTCCTATTACTATCATTGTAAATAAATAAGATAAGATGCATACAAATAACAACACATTATAATTATTAATTAAAATACATTTTTACCTAGTAAGTAGACCTGTTCTGTACCCAGCTCTGTGATGCGTGAATTTGGTTAGATTATATAAGCAAAGGGCGAGACAATGAACTTGACAAAGACAGAACTAAGTGTAGATGAGTAAGGGGAGTGGAGTCAGGAGATATAGCTCTCTGTTCAGTCACAGTATGACGCTGACTGATACAAGCCCAATATTTCAAAGCCCCATTAGGTTACAATAAGATTTATGTGATGAAAAAACTTAGGTGGCTTTGAAAAATCACACCATAAGTCATTATTCAGGGAAATCTCTCACTGTGGGACAATCCTTATCTGACTGGTGTCATTCAGGAGTAAGTAGAGTTACAATGGTATGAAACTGGTGTAAACAAGGTCAGGATCAGGCCTTGAAATCAATTTGGGAGCTAGAAAGAAAAGACCTTAGGAGCTATTTCTGACAAGAACAGGTTGTGTTGTCTGTTTTGATGATAGTAGCAAACATTCCAATCTCTTTAATATTGTGACAGCAGTCCCTGGGTTACGTACAAGATAGGGACTGTAGGTTTGTTCTTAAGTTGAATTTGTATGTAAGTCGGAACTGGTACATATTGTAGGGGAAACTCTAGCCAAACATTTCTCCAGAGCTCAGTTTTATTCTCCCACACCTCACTTCCCTCAGTCCTTTATTCTCAAGCTGAGGTAAGTGAGGTGTGGGAGAATAAAACTGAGCTCTGGAGAAATGTTTGGCTAGAGTTTCCCCTACAATATGTACCAGTTCCGACTTACATACAAATTCAACTTAAGAACAAACCTACAGTCCCTATCTTGTACATAACCCGGGGACTGCCTGTATTGAGGTTCTTGTGCAGCAGCGTGCACCATAATATTAGTACCTCTACTCCTGTGCTGTATGTACTGTTACCTGAATTATTCCGGATCCTTCTCCATTCTGAAATGACAGTGAGAAAACAATAGACAGTGAATTAGGAGAGGCTTTGACTGTCCATTTCCTCCCTCTAGCAGCAGGGAAATTCCAGACTAAGGGCAAGTGAGGATGCCAGATGCATTAGGGAGTGATTATTTGTACAGGAGTTAATGTGGACAAAATGGTCCTTGAATGGCCGTAATGGTCATTCTCTCTAAAAGTATGTCTACACGACAAATTTAATTCAAACTAACAGATGCTAGTTCGAATTAACTTTGATAGGCGCTATACATGCAAACCGCTAGTTCGAACTTAATTCGAACTAGCGGAGCGCTTAATTCGAACTAGGTAAACCTCATTCCACGAGGACTAACGCCTAGCTCGAATTAATTAGTTTGAATTAAGGGCTGTGTAGCCACTTAATTCGAACTAGTGGGAGGCTAGCCCTTCCCAGCTTGCCCTGGTGGCCACTCTGGCCAACACCAGGGAAACCCTTCTGCCCCCCTCCTGGCCCCGGAGCCCTTAAAGGGGCACGGGCTGGCTACGGTGACCATGCCAGGTGCAAGCCTGCCAGCACCCGGCCAGCAGACCCTGCACCTGGCATGGCACGAGCCCGCCACCCAGCCCTCCACCTCTTCCCGGGACCAGGCTGGTGGCTCCCAGGAGCCTGCCTGGGGCCGCAAGAGGCGGGCACCCGCCTGGTCTAGTGCGGAGATCCTGGACCTCATCCATGTTTGGGGGAGGCGTCCAACGTTCACGAACTCCCCA